CAGGAATTGGGAATCGACCTGTTGTTTTTGTTACTCACAGGTTAGTTAGCTTCCTAAGAGTGTCCACATTACATGCATGTGCTGGAAATTGGATTTCTGTTCACTCCCTGGTTTACTTATTCGTTGTTTATGTTTGACATGCATCTTTTGAAAGTGCAAGTGATGCATGTTTCAAAAGATATTTTATTGACTCTTAAATATATATATGCTTCTAAATAATGATGAATAGTTAGAATTGCATAAGGGAATTCATGCACAAGACCTGACTATTCTTGTTTGTTTTCCTGTACAACTTCTTTATGTGCTTTGGCTTAAATATGTTTTAAGGTCATGTAATATACTCACCTTTTGATTTTAGTTTTCTTAGAACTATTAATTTTTAAATGGTCCCTGTAATCTAATTTTTTGGCATTAATCCCTGCTGTTACTTAGCTTTCATTAACAACTGGTACAGCCTATCATGTGATGACACATTAATTTATACAATTTTTAGTTTAGTCCCTGTAAATATACCAGTTTTTATTTTTATTTTTATTTTAGTTCCTCTAAATACCTTTGTTTCTTTAACTAAGTCCCTGATTCTTTAGCCGAGGACAGATCCCAGGGGGGGGGGGTTGTTGCAAGCAAGGCCTTGACCTCCCCTCTCGCTTGACTCTTGGAAAACTCTACTATGATAAAATATATTTATTATCTTAAATGTATAATTATTGAGAAAATATATGGCTTGTTTTTTAACAGAGTCTTCTTGTTTCAATTGTGATAATTGAGAAATCACTTTTACCTATGTAGATGGTAAAAGATAAACTTAAAAACAAGATAAAAGATGAATTTTTCATTAAATGTTTAATTTTATATTGAGAGATTGATTAAAGTTGATACACATTCTATATTGTTGATGAATTTTATGATTTTGAAAAGATGATATTAATAAGTTACAAAAACTGTGATACATTTAACAATTATAATTTTATATTTATTTGAATTTAATCATTAAAAAAATTCCCCCTCGCCCCCTTACATAATTTTGGATACAACCCTGTCTTTTGCCACAGCAGTTAACAGTAACCAAGTAATGACGAGGATTAATGCCAAAAAATTGAATATTACAAGGACTACTAAAATAATTTTAAAAGGAGTAAAATAAAAAAGTAGGTATACTATTCTGACTAAAAATATATTTAAGTCATGTTTTGATCATATTTGTTCTTTCGACCTCTCTTTTAGTAGCACCTTGGAATAAGCATGACGTAAATTTTGTTATAGATTATATACAGAAAATTTCAAATTTAAGAATTCAAGATCAAGATTGGTTCAAAAATCATAGAGTTGTAGTTTCCAACATTTTTGTTGACAAAAACAAACAAGTCACTTATAGAAAATAAAGTGTACCATACATCGAAATAAAAGTAATAAAAAAGGGTGCAGAACAAATTAGTAGCTGTTGATTATTACAAGAGTGTGTCGGTGTGGATTTATAATCTACATGTCACTTTGTCTGTCTAATGAACAAGTGGTTACAAGTATTTTTGTGGTTTGTGTGCCAGTTGTGACTGCTTTTATCTTTCTGATAGATAGCCTGTTTGAGTAAATTTTTCTAGAAATACTTGTGAGAAAAAAAGGAAATAAGTTTGTCTATAAGTTAAAATTAACTTTTGCGTAAATTAATTTGTAAAATTTATCTCATATTAGCTTCTCTAAAAACTCATTTTAACTTGTGCATAATCTAGTTTTAGTTTATAGGGCTTATTTTATTTTTCTTTCAAAAATATTTCTCCCAGAAGTATTTCTAGTAAAGTTTATCCGGACACACTCATAGACTTTTTCGTAGAAGTCCTTTTGGACAGAGACAATGATTTATTTATGTATTTTGTTTAAATTACATTTTCCAAATGTCTTGGGTATCAAGTTATTTGTTTAATCAAATTGTACCTCACTTTGTTTTGTCTGATGTGCCTTTCTATTGTACGCAGTATGGGAGGCCTGGTTGTGAAGCAGATTCTTCATAAAGCAAAGGATGAAAGATTTGATAATCTTGTGAAAAATACAATAGGAATTGTAAGTATTTACTCCTTAATTAAATATATGCTTAAAATTGGAGGTTTTTTTTTTATATGTTATTTTGGTTGTAGGTTTTTTATAGCTGCCCACATTTTGGTAGCAAACTTGCAGATATGCCTTGGCGAATGGGTTTTGTACTCCGTCCTGCTCCAACAGTTAGTATTTCACCCTCGTTCAATAGTAGATGTCGGTTAATGTATTTCCTACCTAATAATTGCTATATTTGAAAGATTTTTTATTGGTTCTTAATTTTTATAGATAGGAGAGCTAAGAAGTGGATCTTCAAGACTAATAGAGCTGAATGACTATATTCGTCACCTTCATAAGAAAGGGTTACTTGACGTCCTCAGCTTTTGTGAGGTAATCAGCAATTAAATTATTTGCTATTATCTATGCCGATGTCTTTTCATGAGTTTGAGTTGTCAGTGACTGCTTTTTTGCAGACCAAGGTAACTCCAATAGTTGAAGGTTATGGTGGATGGGCCTTCCGTACAGAAATAGTACCAATTGAGTCAGCTTATCCTGGATTTGGGGAATTAGTTGTAAGTATATTTTTGAAATTCTTTCTCATCTGATAAGAAAAAGAAAATGAAATGGAGAGTAAAATATTTTGTCCAAATAATTCTTATTTTACTCAAGCTGTAGATCCACCACAGGTGGAGGTCCGGGCTTTAATCCCCGACCCTTCCCAACTTCCCAGTTGCAAAGGAAGCTCTCCTAGACTCCTACTAACTATGCCTAACGCAAAAGCTTCTTTTTTTCCTTTTTAAGGAAAATATAATGCAGTAATCAATGTCATTGTAACTGTAGTTTAATGATTTAAGGTTATGACTTATTTTCGTGGTTATGATAATGAGTTGATTGGGGCATTGTGCTTTTTCTCATGTTGACCTGCCTGAAAGACCCTTCTGGATATGATTTAACAATGACAACAATGAAAATTGAACCTAAATACTCGTGTATTTACCCTGACCCTCCCGTTATTTGGCCGACCCAATGATCGATTGCACACTGTTTACCACACAGATTTCTACTTCCATTTTATTGTTTTTTATGTGACCCATTATACGTGTGTTATTTGTTCCTTCTTTTTGGCCATTATGTTCGGTGTTTTGTGTTATCTGTTATAAGCCTTCAACTGCATTGTGTAGCAATATTTATTAACAGTCATCAGAAGAAGAATAAATAACAGTATTCTGTGCCCTTATATAAATTTAGTCAATAGTATTATGAAAGAATTATTGGGCAACATTTATCTGCATGTCCTGTTAGATGCAAGCATTTGGCCTACACACGCTAGAGTTAGATCTGCCCAGTACCTTGAAAGTTGTATCAGTTTTATTCATTCTTTTGGGATGGGGCTCTACTGTTCATGGGAGGTTCTATACTCCCATTGGACAGTGTTTGTCTCGGCCCCCTGTTAAAGACCAGGGAACATAGAGGTTTTACTATGTTTCTGGCGTATTAAAATTGAAATGACGTAGGATTTGAAACAACTCGAATGGGGAGGTTAATACTGCCCTGTGACAATTCACGAGAGATACAAGTTGATGGATGCATTTTTGGCAGGATTGGATTTGCATTTTCTCTCCATAAGTATTTATGCAACTGTATTGCAGTTGAAGTGCTTGCTTCCCTATTTATCTTGAAATTTTGAAACAGGTATTGGAGTCAACAGATCATATAAATTCGTGCAAACCAGTGAGCCGTTTAGACCCTTCTTATACGGAGACATTAAAGTTCTTGCAGAAATTAAAAGCATGCAATGGCTGAGCTAGTGTGTTTCCGCGGAAGATACGTAAATACCTGTAGAAGAGCTATAGATAGATATCTGTCAAATGCATGGCAAGTCCATATATACTGTGAGTTCTACTTGATACAACAAAAACACCCTTATCTCACACAGTAAGATCGGCTACATGATTACTATTTTAACATGTATAATGAAGCAAGCTTCAAGGTGGACTAACGTGCAAGTCTTCTATTAGATATGGCTTGCCTAAGCTGTACATTTTTTCATTCATCAATCATTCATTTGATCTATTAGATTTCATGAATGCTGTAAGGTCACCTGACCCTTAAGGATTGTAATCAGGGTCCCTTGTACATAAAAAATAGGAAACACATATAAGCCATGTATATATATTCTTCATTTAATCATATCTTGTTCTCTCAGTCTGCTGTCCTCAGTAAAGAGATGTTTGATATTATGTCTTATTTCAGGATAACTTTAAAATTAAGTTTATAAAATATTAATTATGAAAACAGTAATAGTTAAAGTAAACAATAGCATTCCTCAAAATTAAAATTACTGTTTTTTTATTAAAACTAAATTTGAAAAAAATTAAGTGATGAAAAAAAGTGTGAAAGAGCAATTGAAAAAGGATTTAGTTTAAATATGGACAGTGGATTTTTTTTCTCTTTGCTATTTAACCATAAATTTCTCACTCAAAAGTAATTACTTATATATTTTTTATTTTTAAAAAGAAAGACACGAAGCATTTGAAAAGTATTTGAAGTTATAATAATTTATTAAATTATTCTAATTTTAAAATTAGCATTTTAAATTTTATGAAAAATAATAATATAATATTTTTTTTGGGTGAATAATTGAATAGTTTTATACTATTATCTTAAAAAATCATATGAATGATCCATGGTTTCAAAATTTATATGCACCTGTTTTTTTAATCATTTATGGACTGAGTCGAGGATATTCTTAGTGCGCACAAAAAGAATATTTGTTAAATATTTGTATAATAATTATTTAAATACCTTTTAATTGGTTAAAAGGGCATCAAAATAAAAATTTATGATTAAATATTTTTATAAAAATTTAAAGTAAATTTGTTTTTAATTTCTCAAATTTAAAATTGATCATTTTAATTTTTGTAATTTAAAAAAATTTTATTTTAATTTTTATATTCAAATTTGATTAAAATTTTTATGAAATATTATTACATAAAATTTATCTTCTAAAATATTGATTATAAAAAATATCAAATTAAATTTAATTGATTGGAATAAAAATAATAATAATCTTTAAAATATGTTATTAATGATCAAATTAGAATAAAATTTTTAAAAATTATAATAATTAAAAATAATAATTTTAGATTTAAAAGATAAAAAAATATTTTTTAAAAATTTAAGAAATTAAAAACAAGCTTAAGCTAAAATCTTATTACACAGTGGATGAGGATTGGGTTAAGACATGAGAGTGGTAGCGTAAATACGAAACAGAAGAGAGCAGAGAAGAATGAGTGAATCGGGAAGGAAGAAGGAAGTGAGAGAGTAAGAATGTGGTTAACAGCGAAGCCCGTGCGACATCTATGTTTCCCAATCCCATTCTCAATCCCAAACAAGTGCAATTGCATTTGCAGCTTATCCATAACAGCAGCAACCAACCCCAACGCCAACACGGGAATTGATACTAGTCTCACTCAATCTCACACTCCCAAGCCCAAGCCCAAGCCCAAGCCCAAGCCCAAGCCCAAGCCCAATCCTACCGTGAAGAAGAGGAAGAGGTATCGAAAGCTGTACCCCGGAGAGACCACCGGCATCGCCGAAGAGATGAGGTTCGTCGCCATGAGACTCCGAAACGGCGACGTTTCACAAGACCAGCCACATTCCAACACCTGGCAGGCCTCCCTGGAAGGCTTCCTCTCTTACCTCGTTGACAGCCACCTCATTTTCGCTACTCTCCAACGCATCGTCGACGAATCCGAAAACGTTTCTTGTGAGTTCACTTCAATTCCATTCACACCTCAATTCGTCAATTCCTTCTTTTTTCCTTATTTTTTTCTAAGAAAAGTAATTTTGTTTAGTACTGTATCAAAATTGTAATTTCTATTTTCAACTCTCTGATGTATAACTTATACGTCTAGTTATCAAATAAATGCTCATTTGGTGCCTGGATTTACAACTCTTTCTCGTGCTAATCTCTAAAATTAAAGAAATATAAAATAAGTTTCTAAAGTTGCAAATTGACAATCAAATTTATCCAAAATTCAAAAATAATAAAATGTGCGAGTGAAGTGTTAATATGACATGGTTACCACTGTTATGCCTAAAATGACAATTTACCTGGTAGTTATCTCATCTTCATCATAAATGTATAAAGTACGACGTAGCTTAGAAATTGGAGTTTAACTTAGTAAGTAACTCGTCCTGACTTTTAATTTTAACAATTAATGTCTGAGTTTACCAAATACTTTAATTTTGATTACTTTTCTGATGGATAAATAATAATAATAATATAATACTGCAATCACCCATGGAAAAATATCATACTTTTGTCCACAAAATATTTAAGAATTAAGTAAAATAAAAGCAGAATTGAACAGATACAATTAAGTACAATATCTTAGGAGAATGCGAATTAAATGTGAAAAGCTTTCTTAGAGAAGTGTTATGAAATTAGCAATACAATCCCTTTTTTAATCAATGTCTTTGTGACACGTGTTAACTAGACTATTGATATTATTATCTGATCTAAATTGAAGTTTCATCATAGTAATCCATGCAACAAAGGTCGGTATAAAGTCCGTACTACTACTAGTTATCAAGGTGAAGCTTCGATCTTAATTTAAAGATTGTATAATGTTGTCTTAGACATTTTAAATGAACAGATAAAATAGGAACTAATGATTTCTTTTCAAGTAGACAAATAAAAATAACGAAAATAGCAGTAATTAAATTGAAACATTTGTGGTTTAACTCTTTGTTTAATGGGGAAAAAATGATTTTAATTTGTTATGATGAGAATCATTTTGAATTTGCAGATGCATACATGAGGAAAACTGGGTTGGAAAGATCAGAAGGGCTTTTGAAGGATGTCAAATGGTTGGAGCAAGAAGGATATGAGATTCCGAATCCCAGTTCTTCAGGGCTAACATATGCCAAATATTTGGAGGAACTTGCAGAGATAAGCGCACCCATGTTTCTCTCCCATTTTTACAATATCTACTTTTCTCATATAGTTGCTGGTCAGTTCATTGCAAAGAAGGTAGGTACTCACTTCCCTTTCCCTGTCTTTAAAGGTATTTTATGAAGAAATTCTATCACATGTTCCCTTTAACTGTCTATCCCATTGAGAAAATAATGCCTCAGCAAAATGCATCATCATTTAAAAGAGAGTATTTTTTCTCTCAACTATCACTTTTCAGTTATAAAGATGCCAATAAAAGATAAGGTCATGGGGCTTTGGGAGTGAGTGATGAATGTAATTGTAGATAGTTTGATCATTTGATCGTATTTTTATTTGAAGTGAAAGGAGAGTTTTTATTAAAAGTTGGTAGGGAAGAGCCCATAGCAATGATAGCATCGTAGAGATATACTCCACAGCAAAATAGATTGTTACCAAATTATATCTATCTCATCTTGCCTACACAAATTCCCAGCACCTAATCCCTTTTGGTGCCTGACAATGTACCTCACTCTATATTTCTCTCATACAGTTTGATGCTCACACTGATGTTAAAGATTCTATATCAACTTATAGTATTAATAGAGTATATAAATGGGGAATAATACTCATCTTATAAGTCAGTTTTATGAGGTTAAGTCTAAATTTACTTTCTTAAGGTGGTATCAGAGTTTATCCTAACAATTGTTGTTGGGTCTATTGTGCTACCCACTATTGGGACATTATCGGACCATCTATAGGTGTCCAGTCCTCAGTTTGAGAGCATGTGATGGGGATTCCACATTAACTAGTGGTATGAATTAGTGTATATAAGGAGAGAGCTATTCTCATCTTACAAATCGATTTTATAAGGTTGAATTAGGTCCATAATTCACTTTATTAAGATAGTATTAGAGCCTATTATAACAATTGTTATTGGGTTTATCCTATCACTTGCCATCAGACTGTTATCAAATCATCCATAAATGTCTAATTCTGTAAATTTCACATTCAAGATGTTTAATCCTCAACATGAGGGAGTGTATTATAGATCCCATATACATAGGACAAGTCTTTTGTAGGAAAAGATCTAACTATATAATAATATTAAAAAGTAAAATCTAAACTTAATAGTTAAGAATGTTATAGGTGATGACAGCAGCCAAAATTGGCCCATTTAGATTTCTTCTACTCTTATTGCAACTTGTGTGAATAGAGGTGCACTCATCATCTTGTAGGTTCAGAGCTTATCCAATTTTACAACTTGCTTTAGAATAGAACATTATGGACTTGTTTCTTAACTTGATTGCCCGTAATATGGGATATTCTACAGCTGCAAATCTCAAATAATAATTGATAATTTAATGTTAGATTTCCTCAAAGACTCGGAAATTCCATTTGCACGAGTTTGGGAAAAGAGAATCTGATATCAAATATTATGTAGGTATCTAAGTATGTTGAAATGGATGTTGAAACAAATAAGTCATTGTTTCAAGCGATGGTGAAGAATATGGTGTGATGTGGAGGGTGGACCTTGTCCCTTTGATTTTAGCAGATATATTGAATAGCTTGGTATTAAATTTGACCGATAAAGATATGCTTATAGACCTCTACAAACTCATGCATCGTTGTAGAAATGAATGTTTATTGACTTTTCTAGTATTAGTAAGGAATTCCTTATTTAAAAATTCAATTATGCATGACTTTTCTGGTATTTAAAGACTTCAAGGTTTTCTTGTTATTGTATTATTTCTACTTTTAGGTTTCTGAAAATCTCTTGGAGGGTAAGGAGCTGGAGTTTTACAGATGGGAAGGAGATGTACCTGAATTGTTGAAAGGTGTTCGTGATAAGCTGAACATGCTTTCAGAGGTTGATTACTAAGAATTCTATAATTGTTGCTTTAGTATTATATTTATGTCATTATTAATATTGATGTACGATTGTGGTTCATGCAGCATTGGTCTCGAGATGAAAAGAATAGATGTTTAAAAGAAACTACAAAGGCATTCCGGTTTATGGGACAGATTGTTCGTCTAATTGTTTCGTAAACAGACATTTGGTTCGCTTTTTCTTTTCTTGACAGCAATGCCTTGGTGGTAAGCTTTCCAATATTTCCTTTTCTTCCTTTAACTCCTTGAATTGCTTTCAATTGATGGAGGAGTCACCCGAAATTTGTAATGTTTGATATATTCTTGGACAATTTATTCCATTCTTAAGAGAGAAATATTTGTTAACTGTAGCTTGGGAACCATCAATTTTTTTTCTCAGCAGCAAATTTTCTAAATAATACACTAATACACTAAATTAGTCCTTAATTATAAGCCCCAATCAATTTAGTCCCTAATATTATAAAAAAGAAAATTTAGCTCGACTTCCACAACTATTTATGCAGTTTACTCCTTGAAATTAACACCAGCAGTCATTTTGGTCGTTGACATAACAAAATCAATCAAGTCCTTCATTTGGTCCTTGAATTTGACAATGATAAGTTGATTTGGTCTCGAGTGTTTGGGACCAAATTGACTGATACACAACAAAGTTAAGAACTAAATTGACTGGTGTGCACCAATGTAAGGAACCAAAGACTAACTATCAAAATCAGGGTTTAAATTGGTAGATCCTTAATATTAGGGGCTAGCATGATTGATAGTCCTTGCTGTCAAGGACTAATATTTCTTTTTCATAATTTTAGAGACTAAAATTACTGGTGATTTTAATTTCAGGGACTGATTTGATATTTTTCTCCAAATATTACTATTATCATGTCTCATATTTACACCTAGTTTCAATGTTTTGTAGCTGCCTGGCCCAGGTGCCATAAATCTGTGATGGATTTGCACATTCTTATTGATAAGGATTTAAGAGCATAGCACGTGGAGAAAGACTCTAATTTATAGAGGTCGGCGTAGCATAGAGGGAACTACTTCAGGCTCGTGAATTCCGAAATAATCATCACCAATATGATTCAGTACTCCTCTATAATGAAGTTTTCCTTCGTAATGTGGCCACTATTTCCTACTTGCACTTTATTATGTGCCAAATATTAGTTAATACTTTTGATATCAATGCTTGAAGCCTCTGTAATTAAAATACTCAAGTTATGAAAGTTCCATTTTAGACTTTCATTATGCTTCCACGGTGGATTATAGTGGAAAGCTTCGAAGCTTGGCATTTCTCCGCGCTGCAATATCTGCTGCTTTTTTAAACTTTATTCGAGTTCCATTATCAGAAAATTTTATTCGGTTCCTCACACGTTCTTTCCAGAAAAGAAATAATGGACTTGTAGTCATTTTTTTTTACGCTTTGCGTGACTTTAAAATTAAAAACAATCGATATACTTAAAATGTCTATTCTTTCAAGATTTTTTTTACTGGAGTCGGTTTGCATAGCATAAAAAGTATTTTGAATTTAAGTTTCGTTTTTTTAATTAAAAAAGTATATGTATATATGTATTAATTATGGTACTAGAAGTACCAAGTGAGTTACATCAGGGAGAATATTATCCCACCCTACCTCCCATAAACTAAGTAAGGGTTATACAACATTTGTGTCCGTTTTGTTTAAAAAATGCCAGATAACCAAATGTCAAAATGGTGCAGATTAGCAGCATCACATGATGTTATACTATGTGATGCATTCCCTCTGTTATGTTATGGAGCCCCATCATGCAAGTGGTGCAAATTAACTTTCCAAACTTAGTGTAGCCAATAGTCGATCACCGCGCAACCAAATACATTCTATGGGAGTTGTTCTATTGTAGTAATGTGTATTGAAAGTTTTTCTGCAAAGGGTGTAACCAATTCCATACAATTAATTTGATTTGGTTCACCAAAGAGGACTTACAGAATGCTTCTTCCCTGAACAAACATTTGTTCCGCTCATTTCATAAGTACCAAACCACTATGACCAATATTGTTTAAGGTCGTAACCGGGTCAATGAAGTTGGATTTAAATGAATCTATTATTCGATTCGATCAAAATTTAATGTGTTGAGTTGGTTAAGTTTGTACATTTTTTTTAAATCCAATCCAATTCTACACAATAACAAACATGTTAGATTGAATTGGGTCAATCAATTAACATAATTAAATTTATTTATTTTTTTTATAAAAATTTAAATATTTCATAATAAATTTAAATGAACATGTGTCATCCTATATTGTAACAAATTGATTTCTACATTCTACTCTTTACCATAAATCTCTTGAATAACTTTGATTATGTCATCATTCCACTTAATCCCTCAGCCACTATAATGAACAAAAATGGTATTAATAGGTCACCTTCTCTAAGTCCTCTACGTGGCACAAATTCTTATGAGGGACTTCCATTCACCAAGTGATATACATAGTCATTGCCTAATCAATCCTATCCATTTTTCACCAAAGTCATCCTTCTTCTCATCATATACAAGAGAAAGTTCCAATTGACCAAGTCTAATGCCTTCTCATAATCCACTTTGAAGATAATGCATTTTTGTTTTTCTCTTTTTGCCCTTCCACCACCTCATTTGCCACCAACACACTTTGTAGTATGTTCCTTCCACCCAAAAAATGCACTTTGCCTATTGTCGATCAACCTTGACAACACCTTTTTTTTTTTTTAATCCTTTTTGCTAGTATTTTAGGCAGAATTTTATACAAGCACTCCACCAAAGAGATTGGCCTAAAACCTTTTAATTTTTTAGGTTTGTCCACCTTTGGAATTAAGGTGATAAATGGTACATTGCACCCCTTGTTAAGAATTCTTTTTGAATGGAACTCCACAAGAAATCCCATCACATTATCTTCTATCATTTACCAAAATTCCTTTATAAATTTAAAATTAATCCCATTCGACCCTAGACTCTAAGTTTTCATATTCTCACACTGCTTCCTTAACCACTTCTATCTCAAGGTTTGCTATTAATTCGCCACATTCTTTTTTGTGATACCTCCAAGAAGCTAATTCCATCAAAAGTAGGTCTATTCCAATCTTCATCCTAAAACCTACTTTGAATTTTTTTTACTTCCTCCTTAACAAGTTTTGGCTCCTCCACCACTCACCTTTCCTAAAAATCCCCCTTTAACATGTCCTTCCTCCTCCTTCAATTTATAAGAATGCGATAGTACTTTGTATTGTGATCACCCTCCTCTGACCACTTAACCCTTGACTTTTATCTAAGTAAGGTTTCATTTCTCCTTGAAGTTCTCCATAATTGCTATTGTAAAATGATTTTTCCTTGTATTTCATCTTCCATTAGTGGCATGATCTCCTCTTTTTTGTCAAGATCATTGATATCTTTCACAATTTTCAAATGGCTCTTGTGAATATTCCCAAAATGTGCCTCACTCCAATTTTTGAGCCACTTTTTTATAATCTTTATTTTCTCCTTCATCACACAAGCATCCCCTCCTTCAATTTGAGTCTCTCTCCAAATCCTCTCCACTTCCTCCTTGTAGTTGGAGTCTTGGAATCAACAATCCAAGACTCTAAATGGACCAAGTCCTCAATCCATTTTAGGATGTCTAAGAGTTACTGGATAGTTGAGATGCATCTATCCTAAATATGTTGAGTAGACATGGGCCAAATATTGAACCACCTTCTTGAGACTAAAATCCTATTAATCCCACTTCTTTCCCATCCATGAGGACGATACAATGAAAACCCCTTCCTACTAAAGGCATATCTTCCAACTCTATATCAACTATGAATTGATTGAAAGCCCTTATCTCACCACTTTCCCATCTTCCTCATCTTTCCTCTCCTACTCTCTCACTCCCCCTCCTAACACAATTAAAATACCTCAACATGCACCACAATTCTATGTTACTACTCCTTCTTTGAACCAAATCCCCTTAGCGCCTTCTCTCCTAGATAAATTCACAATGTGAATATATATTGATTATCATCATTGGCCAACCACCATTTTTACATATCACTTCCAATCTAATGTCTCCATTCTTCATGAAGAAATTTTGCAAAGCAAATGAGTCTCTATTGCATTTAGTAAGTAATCCCCCTGCCATGTTAATAAATGGACTATATTTCCATCCTCCCCCATTATACCCACACATGGCTAGACATAACATATTATCAATTTTCTCCTTCTTAGTTTCTTGAATACACGATATTTTCAACTCCGCCTTTATCACTAACACTTTAACACTCTTCCACTTGACCTTATCCCTTAATCCCCCTAATATTATAAGTGAGGAACTTCATTACACCCTTTTGTTTGTTCTCTCTTGATTCTTTGTTCTTACTTGATCAATTCCATACCAATCCCTTTTTTTCCTACACTATTAATTTCTTCTCCATCTCTTCATCATTGCCACCATATGTTACTCCTATTTTTCTCCCCATTTCCCACAACAATTTTGCCTCGTTGACACATTTCTTCAACCAAAATATTCTTTTACAGTTGTGAATGATATCATTATTCAATGACTCACTGGCTTCATAGCACTCTACCCTCATTGCTTTCCAATTCCCAGATGGTTGGTGACCTTTATGTGAATATCCTAATGATTGACACCTATGAGATTGTGAACTTTGAATCACCTTTGTTCTTCCCTTTAACTCTCTTTTGATGACTCCCTTGTGTTAATCTATATTAATTTGTGGATCATTGTTTGACGAGGTATTACATTTTTGTTTTGAGTCTGACCCGTCAAAATGAGTCTTTTCAACCACCTGTTCATCATTTGTTTGATTGAGACCTTCAAATATCAAGACCGTTTTCTTCATTTAATTGTATTCCTTATTTCCATGTCTAGCCCAATTGATAATAAAATGAGTTGTGTCACATTTGAGCTCCTACGATCAACTTTAATCGTTTAGGCTTTCATTGTTTGTCTTAATTTTGTTACCTATATATGATTTTGAATTTGAATTTTGCTGATATTGACATCCTCCCTGTTACACATCACAATCTTGAGCCCCATGCTACCATCATTAATTGTATGTTTTCCCCCATGTACCTCCTCACGTGCCACATCAATACTATTTTCAATTGGGTTTTATCATCCGCACTTCCATTTACTGCAATTGTATGCTAGTTTGTGCTTTCATTTTCTACAATTATATGTTAGTTAATATACGAGTCTCCACCAGACACCTTCTATGTGTCTTCATTTTTGTCATTGACATTGATGTTGTTGCAATTACTCTAAAAAGTAAATCTATGTTGTTGTTGCACTTCTGCCATGCGTACAACTTCCCCATCCTACTCCATGTTTGAAGTCTTGAACTGTGATGACACTAAGTTCATTCTAACACCACTTTCCTCATCAAATTCCTCACACCATTCATTTTGTTTTCTCCATCTTCAGCATAGACACTGGGTAGTGTTAATTGGCATTTCCTCCACCACCCAAACTTGGTACACCACCCCATTTATACAAATGTTATTATAATATTGGATTGGTTATGGGGAATCTATTTTAATCATTAATCTGACCATGTCAAGTCTATTGAAGTCATGCATCTCTGTATCTTATTTTATATAGTCTCCAAACACACTTACAACCTGAGAAAAACAAATTTTACCCTAAGTTTGGATCAAGATTCCAGTGTAGTGAACCATGTTACTCTCCCTCTACACCTAAGCTCCGGTGACCATTTCTCAGTCATATCAAATATAGATAAGAATCCTTCACTTCCTTGTTCTTATCATTGTTTGCTTGCCTGTTCCTCAATGCCAAATACGAGGAACATGTAATTGGCGTTCATCCTTGATTAAAGTGGTGCTCAATGTCACTTTTCACATTAAAAGGTATCCTTCCAGGGGGTCTAGCGCTTAGCCTCAAGTCTTGAGGGACTACACTTAATCTCAATTGATGTAAAACTTTCTTTGCTCTCTAACTTCTTGGAACTCAACCTCAATTCTTGATGCTCAGCCTCAATTGACGGATTCAACTTCACACCATTTACTTTATTTTTCCTCCTTATAAAAACCTACAAAACACACAAATTATATAAGTAATAATATAAAAGCAATATTAACACCATTATGACACAACAACATATTCACACAACTAACTAAATTTAAAATGCAATTATATCCTAAAAAAATACTATATAAATCACACATATCAATTTTTGTTTCAAGAATATTATATCTTTTCCTATCTTAATCCAAGTGAAATGAATAACCATGTACAAAATATGGGCTAAAATAGATATTAAAGAATATAAGGAGGGTGTATTGGATTAGAATTTCAATAGATTTTAAAAGATGTCTTTATTGCAAAAAAGTATTGTAGTATTCAATTAAGACAATTTTTTTAATATAAAAAATTCATATGGTATTTAATCAAGACATTCAAGGTTTTTTTAGGAGTTCATAAAAATCTAGTGATATTCAATTAATATTATTTTTACTTAAAAAAAAGTCAGTATTAAAAAAAATATAGAGATTTCAATGGATTATTTTGAATACTAGATTTTTTTAGACTTTTTAGTATGATTTACATGTAATTCACTAATCAAATAATTTTCGTAAGACTTATAAGATTTCGTATGACTTTTTCTCCTTATATTTCTATTCTTTATTTCTTTTTTCTCTCTCTTAAATATTTTCTCTCGCGCTTTTTGCTTCTCTCTCATTTTTTCTCTCATTCTCATTCTTGCTTCTCTCTCTTCTTTTCTTCTCTATCTTATTTTCTTTTTATTCATTTATTATTTATCTCTTTTTCTTTTTTGTCTCATATTCTTTTTTCTCTCTCCTTCTCTCTTGCCTTTCTTGTTTCTTTTTCTCTTTCTTGTCTATCTCTTTTCTCTTTCTCTTTTTATTCATCTCTCTCATTTATCTCTTCTTCTTCTCCTATTTTCTTTTACTATCAATTGATGCATAATTTATCAATATTTATTTTTTAATTATTAAATATTTAAAATGATTTTTGTATTATTAAATATTATCTATTATTAAAAAAATTTAATTATTAAAATTTAAGTATTTATTTTAATAAAATTTAATATTGAAATATAAAATTTTGAAACATATATTAAAAAAAAACTTTGCAGATCATGGTAATGACCTTCAAAATTAAAATAAAATTTTTAATTTATGTCATGCATCCTTAAGAAATGTGATTGAGATAATATTTAGTATGTTTAAATCACGCTTCACAACTTTTAAGTCAGGATATTTATCTCTATTTAAGACACAAACTAAACTTGTATAACATGTAGCATTACAACTTTTTTTCACAAAAAATGTCGTTTTAATGAATTTTCAATTAAATTAGTGAATGAATCTTTATCTTCAATTCTATTGATTAACGAGAACCATAATTTTAAACATATTATTCAGCATCAAGTCTATGAAAGAGAATATGTTAATGCATTCAGAGCTAGTATAGCTTTAGATATGTGAAAATATATTAGTTAGGAGGACATTAAAATTAATTATTTGTCAAAAAATAGAGATAATTATTTGTCAAAAGATAGAAAAATTATGTTGATTTTACTTTTATTTCTTATTTATGTTATATTTTTTTATTAAGTTTTGTAGTATTGCAACTCTATGTTTTCCTATGAAATCTAAAAAATCTTTTAAAATCATATAATATAAATCTATCCAAATCCATTAGAATATGAATTATAAAGTCTTGATTGAAATTCAAGTTTTAAAAGTCTTTTAAAAAAATCCTAAAAATCATCATGACCTTCCTACAAAGTATTTTTTAAAGTTCATTAAAATCTAGAAGACTTTTTCATGCTAAAATTATCTTTTGAAATCTCAATCCAATACATCCCCTAAATTTATTATTTTAAATAATATGAATAATATTGGACAAAAATGAATTTTATTTTTGTATTGTTAAAAAGTTGATTTATTAATAATTTTTATAATTTAAAATTAAAATTAAGAATAAAAAATATGAAAATAAGAAGAATGGAAGAGAAAATGAGAATCTTACTCTTAAGTTATATACTTTTATTTTTTATTTTGTTGGAGATTAGAACTTATAACACCTTTTACATACTACAAAAATCACCTATACCGTTAGGCCAAACTTTGTGGGTATGAAAAATTGCTCAAGTTGTACATATAATATACTCTAGTTTATATATAGAGAATAAATTAGTTTCCACACGGCTTTGTGAGTGCTTGCCCATTATCTTGTGGTACTCAATCAAAGAGATATATATGTTCCAAAGAAAGAACTGTGGACCCAATGTTTTGCTGTTTCTTTCTCATGTCGTGCATGGAATTCATCACCTTGCATACTTTTCACATGTCGTCTTCACACAAAAATATATATATAGACATTTTAAGATAAGATACACTGACACGTACTTTAACATTAGCATAAACATATAATATACTATTCTGTTCGCCGTGCAATTTAAGTTGAAGTTGAAAAAATAAAACCATAGCTAGACCAAATTGCTTGAACAACGCTCAATTTCACGTGGAAACCTTGAAAAGCTGAATTTAACACCAAAACCATAGAGAAGATGAATACATGAGTGGACATATAAATAGTGAAGGAAGAAGAGGGTCTTTGTCGTTGTCTTTCATTCCCATCAAACATGATTGAACAAATATTTATCCTCAAGAAGGTGAGAAAAGTACTATCATTCTTTATTTATTTATTTTTTCTGATTTATCTTAAATCTTAATTATATTATTAGTGTGCAATATTAGCTAGAGTGTGACATGTGTAAACTCTTTCATTACAGGGCTCCATGGACATCAAATATATTAAGAAATTTCCATCAACACTGAGGTTGGTAGTTTTACTCATGGTTGCAATTTGTGGAATATACATTTGCTCAGTAAATTTCGACAAACCAACAAGGGTTCGCACAAACACCAACTTGATGGAACTAAAATTCACCAACCAGTCATGTTATCCTTCTGGTGTAGAAGAATGGGAAGTCCCCTATTTGCATTATCCACAACCCAAGACTTACAATAGGTATATATTTAATTTAATTTAATTATATATATATATATATATAGCTTTCGTCTTTAATCGAGTCGAATGGGGTCGTGTCTTCTATGTAACTAAACTTATATAGTGGAATAAGATTATTGTTGTTAATATATATTGTGGTTTATACTTTGAGAAAATTAATTTTTCAATTTGCCACCAATTTTAGTTATGTGGGGTTTGATTATTTAGCTATATTGAATGATTGGTGAATGAGCAGAGAGGAGTGTGCATGCAATCCTGTTCGGTTTTTCTGCATCTTGACAACGCAAAGATCTGGGAGTGGATGGTTTGAGACGTTATTGAACAGTCATATGAATGTAAGTTCCCATGGAGAGATATTTGGTATGGCTAAAAGAAGGGAGAATGTTTCTTCAATTTTGAAGACAATGGATGAAGTTTTCAATCTTGATTGGCTCAGTGGTGCTTCCAAGAATGAGTGTTCCGCAGCTGTGGGTTACAAGTGGATGCTTAATCAGGTAATTGAAGGCTGTCTCAATTTCATGAATCATCATGGGTTGGTTATTTGGATTAATTTTTTCAAAAATATTTCTAAGAGGAAATATACAGAATAAAATCGAAAAAAGTTTCTATATAAGAAGCATCTTATGTATAAATTAAAAAAAAAATTAATATAGAATTTTTTTTATAAATTAATTTATGTATAAGTTAATTTTAACTAATAATTTTTTTTCTCTTATTTATCTCTCTAATAAGTATTTCTGCATAAGTTTACTCGAACAAATCATCCTATCTGGTTCATATAAGATGGTGCTGTTGCTGAGAAAATGGATACATGTATAATGTATTTGCAGGGTTTGATGGCGCATCATAAGGAGATAGCGGAATACTTTGAACGAAGGAGAGTTTCTACAATATTCCTTTTCAGAAGGAATTTGCTCCGAAGAATGGTTTCTGTGCTGGCAAATTCCTATGATAAAAATGCAAAGGCACTTAATGGAACTCATAAGTCTCATGTACACTCCACTGAAGAGGTTAATCACTTTGCCTTTCTCCCTTACTGCTAATATGTCTCTTTTAGTTTGGATTACATGCTTGGATTAAGGCTATTGTATGTTGACAAAAGTTTATAATTAACGGGATTTCACTGCTTTGAAGTGGGTAAAAATTAAAGTAATAATCTCTGTTATTAATGAGAAAAATTAATAATTAAGACGTGTTTTTTAGTTGCAAGTTATCAAAATATTAAAAACTAGCTACTGATTTTTACTTTTACTTTTATTTCTATCTTTTTAGTTTGAAAATAAATTCATTTTGAAAAAAATTTACACCATTAAAATTATACTAACATTAAAGTGTAGATAAGATGTTCATAATAGTAATAATAACAACAACCATAATAATAATATTAGCATTGCTAATACTAATAATAGTAATGATAATGATAAAAATAAATGTAACAATGTCAATAATAATACAGGTGTTAATATTAGACTACTAATAATAGTAGAGGTTGTGTTGGAAGTAGTGATGGTAATAGCTATTAATTATCAATGTAGTAATAATAAGAATGATCAATGTTAAATATAGTGAGAGTTATTTTTTTAATTAAAAATTAAAATTATAAAAAGAATTTTTCTTGATTTTGAAAATGAATGTAAAATATTTTAAAATTGAAATATTTTAAAATTGAGTTTAAAACTATTTCAATTTCATTTCTATCAAACATCTTTTTTTTTTGTTGAAAATTACATTTAAAAATTAAAATTTGTTATGTGTGTATTTAATACAACCTATTGATTTTTTTGTTATAAGTGGAGATTACTAAGTTACCAAAAATTATAATCAAAATGCAAACGTAAAGTTTTTGGTTGAAAAGCAAATTTTAATTAATCTTTTATATTAGAAATAAGTAAACCTAAATGCATCAATTACTTTCAAAAGGTGGAATATATAGTTGGTATAATATTGTTAAACTTGGGCAGGCTGGAATTCTCGCCAAATACAGGCCATTGATCAATACCATGTGGTTGACGACAAAGCTAAAGCAAACTGAGGAGACATCTGCAAAAGCCATTCAATACTTTAACAACACTCGCCACATTGTTCTATACTACGAGGATCTCGTTAATAATGTCACTGTAAGTAACCTAAAACCATGTGCTGTGCATGTACCATCACAATTCTACAACTTAACTATATATTATTTAATATATTTATTGTTCAATAGTTTGGTTTCGATGCACCGTCACCATAAATTATTATATTGATAATATGACCATGTAATAATGATAATATATTAAATATAAATTTTGGATTTTGAGTTTGTCGTTTTCATAACTGAATGTGTAAGTAAGTACATAATTAAATCATGAAAAGTATAGTTCTACTTTGTTCAATTACAAATTATATATCATAGTGAATATATTTATTTTTATAATAGATATTTTAATACTAACAATTAATGATCATCAAATCATTAAATTGAAATATGGCCATGGATCAAAAGTCAGCCTGCAGATTTGGATAAAGTTCAGTGTTGATTTTCTTTTTCCATTTCCAGAAGCTGAAAGATGTTCAAGAATTTCTAAGATTGCCGTATAGAGATTTGCACAGCGGGCAGGTAAAGATTCACACTGCACCATTATGTGAGCAAATTGAAAACTGGGATGAAGTACAGAAAACGCTGATAGGCACACCATACTTCAATTTTCTCCTCTCAGACTAATCAAATATTTAGCACGAGAGACAATATCTGATTTTGACACCAATAGACAAAGATTTCTCCTTCTATATATGTTACTATACTCATGAAAGATTCTTTGACTAGCACTATAACATTATTCTATGTACTTGAGTGCAACTTCTTGGAAACTTTAGCTTAAAGTAATAAAGCATTTAATGTCGTTCCCAGAGAAATGGTGTGGTCAACATGATCAAAATATTTGAAGTTGATATTTTATGTAAGAAAAATGCAGACAGAAGTTACAAAGACCGACACCTTTGGACATGAATTTTTTTTTTTTAATGAATGATTTAGTGTCTTAATTTATGTTAGATTTTTGATAAGAATATTTTATTTATATTTCAAATATTTAAATTTAATCTGTTTTAATTATTTTAGGATTTGTTTCCTTATTTTAAAATAAAATAATATCAATATTTGATTTTGCATAAAAAAATTTCTCTATAAATAAAGATTTATGAATAAAATTATATTATGCTCCTCTAATAAAAATAATTCTTATAAAATATTCTCTCAAACAAATATTATAAAATAACCTCATCAATTTATATGACAATTAAGGACTAATTTTTGCTGGTCAAGTAATATAGTTTCTATAACCATGGATAAATTTTCTTACGTTGAAACAAACTGGATTAACATTATTTATCCACCAGGATTCATTACGTACTGTCAATGTACTTTGCATGTGAATCTATGTTAAATAATTAGAAGTTTCAACTCTCTTCCTCCACAGGTACAACGCCTGTGCATTGGAGCGGGTGTTTCTCTGGCTGATCATATTAATTACAATTTCAATACTAGTGAACAAATCATTTCTGCGTTTAATAAGACTCTCCGGAAGTCCCATCCAACTTCCATTCAACGTAGTCTTTTTTATTTTCTTTTGTTAAAAATGGTTAGTTATTATAGAGTAGAAGTCTTATTAAATACTAGCATAGTCTTAATTTCTCGATATTTTACACACATTATTTTATTAAAATCTCTTTAAGCAAATCTTTGAAAAAATAAGAGATTATTTGGTTGAGAGTTTTCAAGGGAGAGAGCTCTTATGAGTAATTCTTACATCACTGCCTTTTCGTAATCCATACCAAGTTGGGCCTTCATTACCTATCCCGCAAACACTCCCGAGACTTTTTGCTTCCTGCAACCTGTTGTTGTTTTTTTTTTTTGTTTTTAATTCGGACTAAGACATATCAAACTGACTTCGATAATTATTTTTATAATTACTGATTCTGATTTTATTTTTAAATTTAGCGGAACCCTCGTCAGGGACTGGCATTAAAGACCAATCACAACTGAACTATCGAATTCGCACTCCCAGCTTCGGCCCATCTCACTTTGCAGAAACTCAAAAGTGAAACAAAAAGATGCGAAACTACTGTTTTCTTCTCTTTTTTTTTTTTTTTTTTTCTTTTTTGCATTTGTTTAAATTGCTTCCTAAATAATGTTACAAATTGGATAACCAAATCAATAAATCATTGAACTGGCGCAGTATCAGAGTCATTGTTATCTGTCCGTCCAATAACGAAATGATCAACAATTTTGACCGTATGTACCGGATCCTGGTGGGGAGTGGCTGCCCTCCATTTACTGGGAAATTCTCTCAAATGACCCAACTCTTGTGGATGTTTCGCCTCTCCGTCCCAATCAGGATCAAGCTTCCACTCCTTTGGAACCTACACATTCAAAATGTGGAGAAAAACTAATCAAATTCCACCACCAAAGCCAAAACATGATGATACGTATTCTAACGAGTGATGGCTTCCTACCTTATCAACAGCCAGAGTAAAAACTTCAAGATCACCGTCAGAATTGATGTGAAAGCGTGTGAATGATTTGTAATTAGCTATTCGAAGAGATGAAAAAGCTTCATCGAAGTGTAAGTGAAGCCAGTTGATGCAAATGTATAAGTAGCTCCCAAACACTAAGGAAACAACAGGAGTAGAGAAGACCCAAAAATAAAGGAAGACAGAAGCATAATATATTATAGCACCCCCTCGGGAAACTGACTCTAATCCATTCTTGCAAATATTGCTCCGAGAGACTGCCATGACCTGAAAAAATCATCAGTGTGACAGGGTCCTCCATTACAAGAAATGTCAAAAATAAAATAATCCAGAGAATTTTCTCACCTCTGGCACATCAAAAGCAGACATTAAATACTTGATACATGCTGGATAAAGTCCAAATGTCCATTGTTCAATACGAGCTCTGAGTCCAGTTGGATCGGGAAAGTGCTCACTTTCAACTGATCTATACCACTGATATAAAGTGTGATACCCTGAATTACACCCAAAAGAAAAATCAACATTATAACCAAATATCATCATCACAAAGACAATCCCTTTTTACAAAGTATTGAAATCTTTTTCCATAATTTATTTGTGATGAGTATCAGGATTCATATAAATATCACTAGAGCTAAGTTCCAACTGTTCATTGTGAACCTATTGAATCTAGCTTCCAACTTGAAATAAAGATACAACAATTGAAATATAATTTCCAACAAATAAATAAATATAAAGATGGAAGTCTACATTTTATAAGCATCGTAACTATGAACATGCCCTTGGGGATACGTTAGGGTGTGACTTATAAAATCTGGATGCAGGATTACATACAACAAAAATCTAATTATAATTCTCATCAGCCTGGTTTAACTGAAGCTCTATTTGGTTCCATTCACTGCAATTGCCACAAAACATCGACTATGCAAATGACCATTCTTAATTATGAAAAATGAAGGCAGTAGGGATCAAACCCCTAACCACTTGATCATTTAAACTCTTAATACCATGTCAATGATCAATTCACCCAAAAGCTTACAATGTCTGGTGTAAGCCCAACAATAATTTTATATTTCAAACCATTTTCAAAATTCAAATACTTGCAGTCTAGTGTTGACGTGACAGTCAGCTGACGTGCCAATATGACTTGTAATAAAATGGATGATAAGATTATGTTTCCTAGACTTTTGGAAATGACATGGCATAACACAAAACCCGCAAAAGAGTGCCAAGTCAATGTCAAATTGACAAGGGGACTTAATTGTGTTCATTTCAAAAACTTCAAGCTGCATCTAAAAGCAGGGACCAAAGTTGGAATTTCATGAAACCAAAAAGATCAAGATTGCAATTAAGCTCAAATATTATTATTTATCAACTTGAGCAGAACAAGTTACAAAAAAGTTATAATGATACAAATCATTCAACATAGAAAAACCAAACCTGAAGTTGCCAGCAAATTGTGTTGGATGCATATTTCAATGCCTACTTCAAGAAGCAACATAAGAATCAGTGCTGCAGCAAGGTGAGCAGAAACATGAAGAACTCCAATTATTGCTCGTTTCTTCCGTGACAATTTGGGCGGAACAAAAGAATATGCAGCAATTAGTAATAGTATAGATCCCACTAGTGACACACAAGAGTGCTGCAGAATATATATAAATCCATTCCACACAGTACCAAGGAAACTCCTTATGTGACCAGAAAATGTATCATCTTGGAGGATGTGATTCAGCTCACACTAGAAAAAAAAAAGTTCAGAAAACAAATGCATCTTAGCCAATAGCAACAGATGATAGTATCTTAACAAAAAGGCAAAATGCTAATCTCTGCTTAATCTATGGCCAAAAGAAAAAAACAAGAATCCAACAGTTCAAAAACCATAATTGACGTTGAAAGCATACAAAATAAAACTAAAAATCACAAAGATTCTAGAGGAACTCACTTGTGGAAACATTGAAAAGACTAATAGAAAATATATAATCCCACCAATAAAATCAAATTGCCAGTTCTTCTTTCGAAATTTTAGGATATTTCCCAATGCAATCTGCATGATGTTTAAAAGAAATGTCATCGTAATGTGCAAAAAAAATTAAAAAAAATAAGGATTTAGAAGTTACAAGACAAGGAGGACTATAATAAGCAACTATTAACATGCTACATACCCTGCTTGAATCTTCAAAGGAAGGATATGCGGCTTTGCATTCATAGGAAACTCCAAGAAGTTTGTTAAATTTACTGAAAACATGGGTAGGATGTAGAAATGCACCACCACAACCATTAACAAGAAGATGGTGAACATGTACAGGTCCATCTGACTTTACATGAGAATGACGCATGTAATGATGCAAGTCCCCAGCCATTCGAAGCTTACATCTTCCTTTTAAATAATCACAAATCAGGTGTGAAATATTCTTTCCAGTAACATCATTCCAATACCAGTCCGTGAGCCAATTAGGTTCATGAGTTATAATGATCACAGAGTCATCCTCTTGAACCTTGATAAAAAAATGGTCATGGAAGAAGTTGTGGTCAATCAGTCAATAGATCAAATAATGATGTGTAAGGATTCAAAGGGGTCCACAATTAGACCCAGTAATAAATCAGAAAAGTAAAACAAAACATATATATTAAATATCCACTAAACAAAGATTGTTTTGTAGAACATGACAGATTAATAAGCAACAAGTTCATAATTGAAACAGACCATCTAGATAGGATACTCAAACTACTAAAAAAAAAATTATGACAAAACCAAACTTCATGAACAAGATATTCCAAGACAATTATAATAGCAGGCATAATGCAATCATTATTATCACCTTTCTCTAAAAGAATTTGTACGGTACAACCCCAGAAAATATTTTTCAAGTTACTATTATCACCTCTCCCACCTCTCATTAAATATTTTATTATTAAACATTATATGCATCAATCATTATTTTATATTAAATCAATGGCAATAAAAGAATGACTGGTAATAAAAGATAAGTGAACAAGCAGTGCTGTACAAACAAGAGTGATTTATAAAATTAAATTAGACTCTAGAGACTTCAAGAATAAACATCAAATTTCGAGAGCAAGATCTATATATAATAAATTATTCATTTCAATTTTCAAGACTATCGTATTTTACATTCTACAAATTTCAGGAAAGGTGAGGCATAGTAGACCCCTTATTCCGCAGGTCTACATCAGGAAAGATACAAAGGAATGCAGGGATTAATTGTATACAAAGGACTATTAATAAAGAAAGAGGAAGAACAGGAGAGTTAGTAGGTCAGTTGAGGAAGTTGTTGAGGGGAAAGTCTTGGAACCTACTCCACGAAAGACCCAAGTTGCACTTAGAGAAAGTTTTGTATTTTCCTTTTGGTACCTCTTATAATCATTGAGATATTATTTACCCCTGTAGTTGCCAATATTGTAGTGATTTCAAGTAGCTATGAATGCGTTCATGCATGTTAAT